CTACTCTCCAAATGGTAACCAAAGCAACCAAAAACAGGTGTTTGAGTCAGCACCATATAGCTCTTCACAACCAATTTCGACAAGCAACCTCCAGCAATCGCCAACCAGTCAAAAAACACACACATACACATCTTTTCCCCTAGAAACCAATGGTTGCTAAATGGCCTGCAATCGGTTTCTAGGCCTGTGTGATTTGGGTTTTATTCAATTAACACAAAAAATTTACAAAGTTGCCCGAGTTAAATTGACAAGGTTAGCAATCACATCTGTAGCCTGTATGTATTTACCTGAATTTTCATTTGCCACCATTAAAATCATCATCATTAAAATGTCACACTTAAATTAGCCGTTGAGTTTCAGCGCCACTGAAACAAAGGTTAACTGTCCAAATTAGGTTTTTCAACACAAGCCTGTGATATTTCCCGCAAGCCTAAACGGATGTATCCATGCACTCACTGAGAACATGGGTTCCTCCTGCAGTGTGCGGCATTTAAAACAGGTTTTTCTACATAACTCCACAAACAACCGAGCAGCAGGAGCATCGCTGTTTACTACTTGAGTAATTCAAGTCACTCTTAATTGGCTATCTTGGATTCTGCCAGCACGCAGGTTAAAGACACAGAAAAACACTTTATCTTGGCTACCACAGCTTGATTTACTGATGTCTGCATAGTTATTGGCAAAGTTAAGGTTGGAGTCTCACACATTTACATAGCCAGAAACCATCCAACAGCTGAATGTAAATGATTTTCTTCAGCGGATATTGTTGCATCACTTAAAATTTACTTAATTCAGCTGACTCAGTCTTAGCTTTACTCTTTTATTCCAGTGTTGTGTGAGACGCAAGCACAAATCTGAGCTACTGAGGAAGTGAAAGTCCAAACCTATCCATATGATCAGGATTACAACCACAGAATAAAGAAGTTGTTACTTAAGAAGCCTGCGCAGTTTGTTTCACTACGAATGAAGGAAGAAGACAAAAGAGAGACAAAACTGTTCGGAGTTCGAGGTCCAGAACATGGCAGAGAAAACATAAGAAAAACAAGTGAAATGTGAAGAACGTTTGGGGGCAACACAAACCAGGGAGCAGTATCCAAGGATCACCAGCCCGGTGATTATGAAGATCAGCATAAACTGAAACACAAGGAAACACAAAGCAGCACTACATGAATATGCTGGTCACATGAATACAGAGAAAGCAGGTGCTCTGATTGTCAGTTCTTGTATTCCGGGAATGAACAAGCTCATGCTATATTCAGTCTGACTCCCTTTCCAGCTAACCTAATAATAACTGTTGGTAGTGACATAAAATAACTTTTTTTTTTCCTTTCAGCTTCTCTTAGTGCCAAAAAATGTTTCACCCTCAGTGTAATGAAGGTATACATTGATCAGCCACAACATTAAACATCAGAGTTATATTCTGGAGGTCCTTCTTGACCCTCCAAAACTGGTCTGGAGACTGGGCAATGAACACGAGACATCCCTTGGTGTCTGATACTCTAACACTGCCAGTGGATCTCGTAGATTAAAGGGTGTGACTTGTGTGGTTCACATTCTCCTGGCACATCCCGCTGATGCTCTGTCAGACTGGGATGTCAGGAGATTGGAGACCAAACGTCACACACTGGTTGTGTTTCTAAAGCTGTTTCCAAGCATTTTCTCAAGAATGATGGAATGCATTGTTCTGCTATAGGATGCTTCCATTGCTATCCAATGATGTGCGTGGCCTCTAGCAATGTTAAGGTGTGTGGTATGTCTCAAAGTAACATAGGACCAGGACCATGCCAGGTCCCAAGACCTTTTAGGACACAAACAGGATCCATTCATCTCAACACTCAGTGGTTTTAATATTATAGATGATCAATGCATGTAGTTCATAAAAACTGAGCAGAGCAAATTATAACTGAATCCTAATTTAACTGTACTTCATGACATACATGCTTCATGCAAGACAAAAGAGGTGTAGCAGAAGCGCATAATCTCCTCACCATCTGAAGCACGAATCCTGCAGTTATACCTCCTGCCATATTGAAGGCTGCAGGAAAATTGAGTAGACCCGCTCCCAGCGCTGCATTCACCACGATGAAAACAGCGCCTACTGATGACACCCCCGAGCTCCTCCTCTCAGACTCAGGTTGCCGAACAGAATCCACACTGGGGCTCTGCAAGAGCCACGCCCTTTCTCCAGAGTCACTGCTGCCAGCACCACCCCAGTCCTCAACATCATTTTAATTGCCATGAGTCACCAAGGTGCAGCTCAGTCTGGGAAGCGTTAAGCACCTCAGAAAATCAGGTGAGGAAATCTGAATGAAGCTACGAGATATAACCCAGCTGCAGATGAATAATTATGTCCAGTCAGGAGCCAGCTGAGGTTTCTCAACGGTGATGGTTTGATGGTGAAGTCATTTGGAGATTGAGCTGTAATAAAATATTGTCTGCATTTAGATACATTTGGGAGAAGCGTGGTATCAAAATAACATACTGAGTACATTAGATGGGGAAGTTAAAAAAAAAAATAAGTGGTTTGAATCACGAGTCATGTTTGGTAAAACGGTTTCTGCTCACTGATTCCTAGAAGTCCATAATATACTGTATGTAGAAATTACCCAGTTTAAGGCAGTGAAGGGGTACTATTCATTTTAGGAAGATGACATGATTCTTATAATCACCATGTTTAAAAAAAATCAAAATCAGTGAGCTCAAGAACAAACATACGTTTTAGAGAACAGTCGTTTTACAAGTGGATCTCTTATAAAGTAGCTAATGAGCGTACGGCAGAAAGTGTAGGAGAACACGCAAAGCTGCCAGGAATAAAGCATGGAGGTGATTTATTAATGTTGTGTCCACCAGATCTCCAACACAGTCACTGTCTCTCTCTCACTCACACACACACACGGGTATCTACAGGAGACACTGGTCAAGTAATCCACCTTTTATCGTAGCTAGATTCAGGCTTTTGTTTTCACTAAGGTAACAATAGCATTTATCAATACACCCATACACCACTGTGCCTACATTAGCTAGCTAGCAAACAGCACACCGAGCTAAAGAGAGCTCGTTTTCGACAACAAGTCCACACATTTAAACACCTCCGCGTTACTCACAATAAGGATTAAAGAGTCGTCTCTGTTTCGTGTAAGACTAAAGTGCTCGTATCCTACCTTATGCCGCCACCGCTGGAAATGAGAGACCTCAGTGTTTTGACCGTAACGTGACGAGCAAGTCACATGCGGCACAATAGAATTGTGGGTAATGTAGTTCCCCCTGTCGTTTTCATAAACCCAGTGGGATTACCTGAGGCCTCCACTCTTGACAGGAAGTTGTTTCTACGCTTCCTTATATGCCGCTGTTTCTTAAACTTATGGCGAACATATAATGTACTCTTTTGCACAACCTGTCTTTTTTCAATCCAATTTTTTAACTTAACCTTTGTTTTTGCTATAAATATACTACTGTACATTTTATGCTTTAAATTAAAAGTATTGGTAAAGGCCGATTTTTGTGTTTCTAGAATATATGTGTATGCTCTATGTTGTTCATTTCTGACTTCTCAGAGGAATCCAGTGTGCTGGTTCAAAGTGGTTATAAGAATATGAATTCAGTTTTGCCTAAAATAATTTTTAGTTTAAAGGTGTTTGTGGGGATAGGTTAACTGGATAATCCAAATTGCCACTAGGTGTGAATGTGCGAGTGAATGTGAGTACGAATGGTTGTCTGTCCCTGTGTGTTAGCCCTGCAACAGACTGGCAACCTGTCCAGGGTGTACCCCGCCTCTCGCCCTATGACAGCTGGGATAGGCTCCAGCGTCCCCCGTGACCCTGAAAAAGGATAAGCGGAAGTGAATGGATGGAAGGTGTTTGTATCATGTTTATGACAGGTGGTCTATATTTGTTCATTGCTGTACAGGGCTGTTATCTGTAAATAAAACAGAACAAAGAGTGCATGTAACCATTTCTTACATGGGTAAACTATTATCCAAGAACATATCAGAAACTTAAAGACCAATGAAAATGCAGCCACACCCATTTAAGCAAATGCATAAGTCAGAGCACTCTGTACTTTTGTTTGTGCTTATGCAAGTCAAGATCATTATATACAAGTTTAGCCTATCATAGCTAACAAAGAGCGAGGAAACTCCCCTGGACCTCAGTGCAATAATCCATCACTTGGGATCAGATGTAGGTTGTCTGAGCATGATGTAGTGGGTAAATGTGAAGTAAAGGGACAAAATTAACTGGTTTCACATCTTTACTCTTTAATGATTTATTTGTTCAATGATGACAAGACCAACGATCCATAAGAGAGAATGCAAAAACATGGAGGCAGAGTACCAGAAGTAAGAGCAGACTCGGGCAAACCCCACATTTTGTATTGCCATCTGTATCTCACAGTCCAGATTCACACACTAAAAACATGATGTTCATCTGAATGAACAGCGTGCGCGCATCATGAGATGTGGTGTTCCCCCGAAGAAAGTACCCCACACAACTTTACCATGGAGTACAGACTTTTCATTTGGAGAGTAATTTTGTGTAATAAAAATTCCTTGCAGTGGGATTGACAGATTTATTGTCTCCATTCTCAACACTAAACCATGTGCTTGTTTGTATCTGGGCTTACAAGAGGACCAGCAGAGAGAGACCGCTGCCCTGTAATCACCAAAACAGAAATCAAACAGATTCAAATTCTACTGAAACAGAACAGATAAAGAGTAAACTGCTGAATCATTGTTAGGGCAGATCCACAGAGTAAAGAGATTACATGATTGGCAGATGCCCATTAGTACAGTAAAGCCCAGTGATGTCTTGAGACTCAAACAGTGCCTCACAGGTTAAAGTGCTACAACTCCACAATTAAAAGGAAACCCTCAGATCAACTGCAAGCTTTTACAAAGAACGAGAGATCTCATCTCCGCCTAGCATCGCCTGGATAATTTTTCCTCAACGTTTTAGAGTGTGGGCCCACAGCAGATAGAATATACATGTAGGAGGACACGAATGTACAGCCAACAGTTTATTTCTGATAATAAATAAGCAAAGATGATTCAGTCATGGGAAGAAATCTCTCAATTTGGCAGGGGAAGCCTTTAGTGAAATGTAGAGGAAAGAAAGTGTAACTGGAAAACAGAGCCTGTAACAAGAGCAACCGTTCCAAATTTAACTCATGATGAAAGCCAGTCAGGAAACAAAAAGGCTACAACTTAGAAAAAAAAGAAAAGAAAAGAAAAAAAAGGAAGTTTTCTAAAGGTGGAATGAAGGAGACAGAATAAATGGCGCTTGAAGCTCCTCTTTAGTGCTGCTCCTTCTGATTTTTGCTGCTCTCCCAGCACGATCCACTCTACTTGGTGACTGCGTGGATCGCGTCTGCAAGGTAGCCCACGTTTCCAGAGGTCACACCTGCCATGGAAATTCTGCCATCCTTGGTCATGTACACTGAGAACTCTTTTGTCAAGCGCTCGACCTGCAGGGAAAGAAAACAGCACAAATGAGGCAGAGGAAAAGGGCAGTTTTATTGTTTTTTGAAATAAACATTCATCTGCAGGATCAAGACTCATAATGTCAAACAAACAAGACTGAAGAATGCACGTTTTTAAATGAGACAGCAGGCGTTTAAGACCACATTCTTAATGCAACCAGGCAAATACAAATCGCCACTAAACTTTGTAACGACTAAAAAGTTAAACAGCAGTAAACCATTACCCCCTGGTGGTGAAACCTCAGTCAGTACAGAAAGCAGCTTTACACAACAGATATGACTGTAAGAGTGGGCCTGCCAAAAGGCAAGTCTCTTTCCTAAGAGAAACTCTCCTCTGATATGACCTGTGAGGTTTATTGCTGAATGACATTATTCATTACACTTTGTTTAAATATGAAAACGTATCAATTTCTCTGCCATTACATTACCTGTTCTGGCTTGAGTCCTGTGAAGCAAAACATCCCGATCTGGTCGATGACATGCTGCCAGTTGTGGGAGGAGCCATTCTTTTTCAAACCGGCCACCAGCTGCTCTCTCATCTTGATGATGCGGTTAGCCATACCATGGACCTCCTCCAGCCTGGACACAAAAAACAAAGAAATGCATAACTGAGCGTCAACCTTTTTGGGGCACGCTGAAGATTTGAAGCGTTCCCAAAGTATTCAGACTACATTAGTTTAATGTGTCAGAGTTTAAGTTGCTAGTTGGCAGCAGCGCATAGAGCACTGACCAGGCTCCATCCCTGAAGGTGCTGGAGCTTTGTCTCTAAAACCTGACTTTACTCCTGGAACATGCTCAACTAAGGTAGTCGTGTCACTCCCAGCTCTGATTTCTGTGGCCAAAGGAACGCAGCATAAGTGCAGTGTTGTGATAACCTAAGGAGCTTGAAGAGAAAGCAACTGGGCTTCATTTGGTTTTAAAACTGAAGAAGCCTCTTGGATGAGAAGCAAAACCTCTGCATGAAGCTTAAAGAAGGAAGGAGCCCAGTATTTAAACCCTAGTGGGGTCATCTGTGGATATGTCCATGTCTAAAAGGTCGTACCACAGTGAGTGCAGCTCTGGCGTGTTGAGAATAGTTGCTGCAATTCTGGCACCATTCACTGGTGGGTTGGAGTAGATGGGCCTGATGAGGATCTTGAGTTGAGACTCCACCCTCTTTGCCTCCTCTGCATCTTTGCACACGACAGTGAAGCCTCCGACACGTTCACCTGTCAACATGCACAGCAAGTCAAAAATATAAACACTGATGACAAAAAAAAAAAAAAAAAAAAAAAAAAAAAAAAAAAAAAAAAAAAAAACCTCAGGGTTTAATACAAGATTTTGGTTCACGATAAACCACCACCTCTACTGAACAACCAAATTTAAGAAAATTGAACAGGTTATAAATAAGCAAGGATAACAGACACACAATTAAAAACCTTGCGATTCTTGTGTTACTCATATTTTCCCAGACTCGTGTAGGTTTTAATGTGGCACCAGTGTCAGAAGGTGTCAGTAATGCACCTACAGACTGTTTGCAAGACACCACTAAACAGAAATAAAAGACTAGGTAGAAGGAGACTATTCTAACCATATGTGGCCAGTGAGAATAAGTGTTGCCATACAAGTGTGACAACATTCAAAACTCAAAAGAACTACCGCTGTACCCAAATAAATATATTTTAGTATCAGCATTTTCTCAGTGGGTCTTGTTAAGGGATCAAGATAGATCTGCTCAAATGTTTCATTTCAGAACAGAAAACACCCATTTAGGAGCCTGCACTGAATCTGACTGACCATAGAGTCCCATGTTCTTGGCAAAGGATTGTGACAGCACAATGTTGTGACCGTTTTCAATGAAGTGGCGGACAGCCCAGGCGTCGCGATCAATGTCTCCACTTGCAAAGCCCTGGTAGGCCATGTCGAAGAACACGAGTAGGTTCCTTTTCTATAAGAGTGGTGGTGGATGAACAAAGACAGACAGCAGTTAATTATCCAGAGCTCATCAATTTTGCTGTCTTAACTGTCAGAGACCTCATGAGATAAAAGCAAAGCAATCGTTTCATCATTAGCATTTTCAGAACCTCTGATAACCTCTCACCTTCACAATGTCAGCAATCTCCTTCCACTGCTCGGGCCTTGGATCCACACCAGTGGGGTTGTGGGCACATGCATGCAGCAGGATGATGCTCTGCTCTGGGATTTTCTGCAACATAAACGAGGGTTTCAGTTAGTCAGCCTACAAAAACCCACACACTACAGACCTGACCGTGTTCTCACAGCAGCAGTACTCGTACACTGCTCATGCACTAGATATGACTAACATGAAGTGGTTCCTCACCACGAGATAAAGCAGCGTTTTCCAACCTTTTGGAGCCATGGCACATATTTCACATTAGGAAAGTCACAAACAAAAATGTCACAAAAAGCATATTAATAATTTTTCCGTGTGCACCAGGTATAGCGGAATTGGCTCAGTTTGTCCCCAGTATAGCTTTGTCTTCTTCTGACCACTATTCATGCTAGGGCCTTCATCTGGGTTGGAATTTACTCCAGGACCCAGGTCAGATTAACTACATTTTCTTTTCAAATACTTATCTATTGCTATTACGCGCTGCATTGTCTCACTCGCATGACTATTATGCAATTTCTCCTGTTTTACTGGCAGTTGGCAACTGATTTAATTAGAGCAGGTAGTTGAACTGCCCTCTAGTGGAAGAGAATGTAATTGTTCTGTTTGTTACTCAAGCCAATCGCTTGGAATACCAGATAATCTTCCACAGCACACCTGATCATTTCTCACGGCACACCTATGTGCTGTAGCACAGTGGTTGGGAAATACTAAGATAAGGGGATGAGAATTACATGTACATTTTAGCAAATCTTTATTATACACTGATGCAACAACAATTCACACTATGCCCAGTGAAGCTTCCCTGATATCTGTGTGTAAACAAAAAGTGGGGCAAGACCAAAGTCCTCTTGGATGGCTCTTAGTATAAATACACCGTTTGCACTACACACCACAAAAGTAAAAAAAAGAAGAGTCCCATGTCCTGCGTTCCTTTCCTAATAAAAGGAAAATTTCTTAAATCTGATCACTACTCTCAAACTTATCCTTCAAAATCACAGATATCATTTGGACAACTCAAAGGATAAAATCACCAACAATAATCAAATTGTTGGGAAAAATGCTAAACATGTTTCATTTTCTTTTGACGCATGTATTTTACGCATTTCTTACAGAGATGTCATCCAGAGCTCCTTTGAAGTCAAAGCCACAGGTGGAAGGTTCATAGTAGCGGTAAGCTTTGAGCTGCATGCCAGCATCTCTGAAGATGGGTGTGTGGTTCCCCCAGGAGGGTTTGGGCAGGTACACATCATGTGGCCCAGGGTGGAATCGAGCCTGTGACACAGGAAAAGCTAATGAGCTAAGGCATACCAAGAAACCTAATTTTTAAAAACAGTTTTTAAATGCCAGGTGATCAATACAAGAAGACCTCACCAAGAAGTTGGCTCCAATACGCAGAGATCCAGTTCCTGAGATGGTCTGGACTGTGACGCTCTGTCAGGAGAAGAAAACTGCTGTACTGATATGGATTTCTTTTAAAAGACAAAAACTTGTCCATCGTCAACTGAACTTTAAGTTGAACTTACTCTGCTACTTTTCAAAACCTCATTTTCGGGACCAAGAGCCAGCTGAGCACAGGCTTTACTGAATTCAGCCAAACCACCAATGGGAAGGTACTCCTTATCCAACTGTTTAGCTGCAATGATAGCCTCTGCCTAGAAGAAGGCAAAGAAAATGAGGCATAAAACATCCTCCTTTCCATCAGCTGGCAATGGTGTGTATGTATATGTATTACATACATATCTATGCATGACACACAGACACACACACACACACACACACACACACACCACACACACACTCTCTCTGGAGGTGGATCTACCTTGCGAACACAGCTGAGGACAAAAGGCTTTCCTTGATCATCCCTGTAGGCTCCCACTCCCAAGTTCATCTTCTTGGGGTTTGTGTCCTTCTTGAAGGCTTCAGTCACCCCCAGGATGGGATCAGGGGGACCCATCTGCACTCCACCCCACCAGGAGCTGCACCAAAGCAGATGAGTATAGTACTTAGATTGTGGTCACAAACAAACACTAATGCATCTTTGAAGAGGGGCAAAGTGCTTTTAAGGTACAACTACCTTGTATAGTTTAATGCATGTAGCCTGCCAACAGACTGCAGATGCAAATTAGCAGTAAGCTAAAACTGATACAATGCATCAAATGGCAACATTTATGTTAATATTGTAGATGGCTTTCCAGAAAAGGCCAATAAAAGAAAAAAAGAAACATGCTGCAGAGCCTAATGCCAGCTTAGCACCTCATGTGACCTGGAGATAACACACTGACTTAAAGACGCATGAATGACACATGCTTGGCTGGTACAAGCATCATGAAACATAATCCCATCAGGAAGTCCAGAGTCCAACAACAAGTGTGACAGTTAATCGGGGTCAAAAATGTCATAATTACCCAGTTCCCACGACAACAAACACTCAGTGAAGTATTATATTCCACTGAATGAGTATTACTGTTCTTTCCTTTATTTGCTCTTCCAGCTTCATCTTGTTGAATATCATTCTTTTCTTTTTAAGTTTATCGATCTGTTTCAAAATACTTGATGCTAATTAAAATATTTGTTTAAGTGGCTGATTAAGGTAAAGAAACTAAACAGTCCTTGAATTTCTTATTAACAGTACTTATTAGTAATTTAAAAAAAAAAAAAAAACAACCCACACAAACACACTACAGAAAGCAAGACAGATACCTAAAGTTCTTCCTTGGGACAAATGGCTTATTTTTCAATCTCATATTTTACAACACAGACTAAAGACTGAAGTCTGATTTAAGCATAGACGGGATGTATGGGGTTTGGGGGGGGGGGGGGGGGGGAGAGAGAGAGAGAAAAAAGTCAATCAGTTCACTGGGCGTTTTTCTGCTTTCACATCGTCAACTGATATTAATACAATACATCTCCGTTTGTACATAGATTTAGGAAGCCCACACCCACTAATCACGTTTTTTTTTTAACGTGGCATGATTTTACTTTTGCTGCACTCTTGCCCTCACAGACATGTTATTGTATCAGGTTTCTTCTACTTTCTAAACTTGAGTCTAAATTTAGGACAGGACACTTTGCAAAGGGCAAGTGTCTCCAAAGTGACATTAAAATATTATTTCTATCATTTGGCACAAACTTTTTTCACCTAATTACCATCTATACAAACAGTATTAGTTTTACTGTGTGTAACATACTACTGTTGACATTAACAGCAGGAACGTAGTAACTAAAGTGTTATTTGCGTTCATTTGTCTCATCACACTTGCAGTGTGCATGCATGCAGAACCTTTGAACAGACAAACTTCAGCGTTTATTTAAATATTTACTGAGAAGTTATCAGAGATCAGTAGAGCAGAGGCCTTTGTGGCACCGTAAAGGGCAATATTGTTGTTCACCCCTATCAGTTTCTGACATTACCGTCTAAAATTACACAATAACGGCTGGCTGCGTGCTTGAACATAAGACACCGAATCACGACAGCAGAAGCTAGAAAAACGAAACCTAGAGTTACTGCAGTGAAGGGGTAAGCTAAATACAGTTTCCCCACGTTCACAAATCTCAGCATTTACGAAAGCTTGAAGTTAAATATTTTAATCGCACAAACGAGTAACTGTGGACAAGTTTGTCCTCCAAGCACACCCTGAAAGGACACACCAGTGTCTCAATTTCCACCTGGAAATTAGCCAATCGGCGCTCAAAGGTGGGAAGCGACAGCCAATCAGCTCGCACGACTTTACAAACTACGACAAGTCGCTTAGCTCAAACTGTGCAACTGAAATTATCGCGATTGTTTAAGTCACTCAAGATGTTTTCAGGAGCAAAAGGCGAAACCGTTTATTAACAATTAAGTTAACTGTTTAATACTGTAAACTTAAGCTGCTCTTGATAACGTAACAAATCCGACTGGGCTTCAGTCTCCACCATGCTCCGGTGCTAACACACCAGCGTGACTTTCATCAGTACCGTTAACCTCATTAACAGCAACTCAAAGTTGTGGTAACTCAAAGTTACTGTTTTGAGGTCAGGTTAGAAGTAAGCAAAGAGAAAGTTTGTCTTAAACAATGGCTGTTGACCTTTCAGGCCATCAAGTCACAAGAGGACATCGCTAACCTACATATTAGCTGCTACCTGGGAGCAGATGCTAAACCCCGGACAAGAGCAGGCCGTGTAAAAATCCTTTGACCTCAGTCTGAGGTTAGCTGACCAGCTATTGGGGCTACACTAACCACAGAGCAACCAAGCTCCACCATAAAACACAAGGTAACGTCAACCTTCAAATAACGTTTGTTCATTGAGCAAGCTGCAAAACGTGACAGTTCATGCGACCACGTAGGTGGTGCTTAACGAACTGATCGTCCACGTTACTGCCTTTTACCTGTTGCGGGTGGACAGGACTCCCAGGGACGGGGAGATGTTCCCCAGGCAGTAGACCATCTTGCTGGACTTGAGCAGAGCCATCGTTGCTGCGTTTGGGAGGCGAGCCTAGAAGGATGTGAAGGACAGGCGAGACCACGCTCCTACGATCTGAATACGCGCTGACGTCAGAGCAGTCGCCAGTGATCGTACGGTGTCGTTTCGTCTGTATTTATAGCGGAGAAGAAGCGTGAGTAATTTGTTATACATAGACACAGAAACCAGGTAGTAAAACTCAGTAGCGGTTTTTGATACGGGCGGTTACCCGGGGCGGCATCGTGGTGGGGGGCGGCATCACAGACATCGGCAAAAAAAAATTAAAAGATGAAAAAAAAAAAAAATTGCTCGTACTCGTGCTGCCCCGACATCTATCGCCGGGAGTAAGGGCGCCCTCGTTTGCGAGGTGCGCCTGCTGCTTGAGGCACAGGGAGGAGAGGGCGGGGCGGCGGGGGATTCTCTGGCTGGCTGGAGCTCGCAAAATAAAATAAAAGAAAAACAAAACAACAAACACGAAAACACCAGACATTATAATACAGACTTATAATTTGCACCGATGTTTTTTTGAAATTCTGTATGCGAAAAGTGAGCGCGAGAGCCCTCGGTGCGCCTGCTTGCTGCTGAAGTCAAAGTAAACTTTATTGTCATCTCCGCTACATACAGTCCAGTTAGAGAGACGAGGCAACAAGGCTCCAGTTACAGCAGTGCAAGTAAACAAACAATACATATAAGAAGAGTAAGAAAATAAATATAAACTATAGGACTATGGGTAATTGGATCAATAACAATTTAAAATGTATATTTGATGGTTTAAAGTCTCACACACAACCCGTCGAAAGTGGAGGGGGGCCCTGCTGCTTCCAAATAGAGCACATTTCATTCATAATGTAAATCCAAGCCCATTATGTATTCATGATTTGAATCCTGGGTTGTGTGAAATCTCAGAAATGCACCCTAGACAAAGTGAATCTGTGAACTAAGGTGTAGGTGTGATAGATTATGTTGTGGTGACCTTCGAGTTGGGGGATGGGTGTTCATACTGGAGTGCAAAATTAAAACCAATGGAAGATGGACAAGAAAAGTTCAAAGCCATCAGGTCCTCAGTTTAGAAAAAATAGAAAAGAAGAGGAGGAGAGGACGAGCAAAAGATACAGGTATGCAGATGTGTCATTGGATAATGGCAGGTCATCCTGAAACAATCAGAATCAGAATACTTTATTAATCCCTAAGGAAATTATGTGGGTTACAGTTGTCGATCCTACGTGCTGCACAATAATATTCAATATTTAGTATTTACTGTTATATTCACATAGATTATCGCAATGATGTTGTTTATTATATTGCTCTCTCTTTTTTTTTGCTTGTTTTCTCTTTTTTCTTTCTCAACAGGTGATCCAGGTGATTGATATATGTATTTTTTGTCTGTTTGTTTTGTTGGTTTTTGGTTTTTGCCCTTTATCACCGCTCCTCTTCCCAGCTGCTTTTCTTTCCCTACCTCTCTTTCTTTCTCCCTTTTCTTTCCCCCAGTCATGTCTGTCCCATGTGTAGCAAGTGAAAATAAAATAAAAATTAAAAAAAAGATTTGATATTATAATCTGACTCTTAATCCCTAGAGTAGTGTGGCATGGAGAGAGCAGTGAAGAAGGGAGGGGGACACTATACATACATAAATCCACACAAGAGCAGTGCAATCTTATTTTAAATTACATAACGTCTCCTGGATAAAAGCCATCTGACTCAAATAGAGGAGCTTTACGTCTTTTTAGTCACTAAATTTTCAGGGGAATTGATTTATTTGACACGGGCATAATAACACTGCATTAAAACACACAGTTATGCACAAGCACCGTATGCACTGCATCTAATTTACAACACCTGTCCTGAGGTGAGACAAAGGGAGCCATATATAAAAATATGAAACAGATATAAAAATAAAGCTCAAGTTGAATACAGAGTTATAGTGCGGGTGTGCTTTTATTTCAGCCACAGTTTATTGCTTTTGTTGAAAACACTGAAACTGGTTTGCATTTTTATATCACAACCTTTGCTCTTTTAATGATGGTGAGATGAGATTTTGTGCATTGTGATGTGACAGTTACTGTTTATTGAAGCCTTTGTGCTGTTTGTAATGCAGTGCTGATGTCTGGACTCTAAAATATCTCTGAGTACTGAGGAAGCATGGCATTGTATGTATTTTAAAATAATCCTTAGGTTGGCTTTTAAAGCTAAACATACTTTGTTTTCCTAAAAAATGAAAAGAAAAAAAACCAATGTATTTGTTCATTTTTAAATAACTTTTATTACCTGACCTTACAGTCATGTGATTGGTAGTTTTAGGTTATAGCAGGACTTTTCTGCACACATTATTCACGTCTTTCAAATCTTAGATGCGAGTCTAAAATGATTCCTAGTTCCCTGATAACTTAATTTCTTTTTTTTCTTCCTTTTTCTTTTTTTTTTTTGCCATGAATGCTAATTTTTGGCATTGTTTACTTGTAGAAAAAGTAATTGAAAATTTTTTTATTTTTTTATTTTTTTCACATCTTGTGTTAAATGAGAGAAAATTTAAATTAGAGTAAAATGTCAGTCATATATATGTAATCTCTGTAATATTCTGGATATTTATAAATGAGCAATTTGTATATTTTATAGCTATTTCTTATACTTTGTAACTTTGTAATATATTATATTTTTTAATCAAGTTCAGTCTGTTACTGTTCTTATTGTCTTGGAGCAACTGCAACTACATAATTTCCTTAGGGATTAATAAAGTATTCTGATTCTGGATTTAATGATTCACAGACCATAATGGATATGCACAAATAAATACAACCTTCAAAAAATAATAATTAAGGGAACACTGAGTCATCACAGTATAAGTCAGTTAAAGCTTCCTGGAGGTCATTTTGTAGAGCTCTGGCAGTCATCTTCCTCGTCCTCCTCATACAAAGGAGCAAATTCGGGTCATGCTGCTGTCTCTGCTGGGAGACAGAGCTAACCTTCTTGCAACAGCATGTTTAGATGTCATCCTGGAGGAGCTGGACTACCTTTACAAGCTGAATGGGCAGCAGGAGCCCATGCTACCAGAAATGACTCAACACTAGAAAAAAGTTGACATGATAAGGAAGGATAAGGACAGATTAATGATCTGTAGCCACCGCCTGCTAATCAGGCATTTTACTTAATATAAATAAGAAATAAGATGTAAATAAGATGATTGCAGGAACGATGCCGCTACATATTAACAGCATTCTGCAATTACTTGATTTTCCACTTGAGGGCAATATAACACAATAGGCAGTGTCTGTCTGTGAAGGTTCTCAGTCATCCAGGTCATCGTAGTCTAAGGAGCTTGGAAAGTAAAGCGTCTGGACTTCTTTAAAATGCTTGAGGACGTTTCATCTCTCATCCGAGAAGCTTCTTCAGTTCTGATGACTGTAAAGTCAGAAGGTGTCTCATAATATGGCTTAAAACTGTCTCTTTTTAAGCTTTATACATCCTTACCATAGTAATTTTGATGATCGCTGTGAAAAATATTAGAAGATGGAGTTCATTCACACTTCAGTGTTTAACATAAAAAATCAAGCACATGATTGTACCTGACACACTGCAGAAGATTGTGCTGTTTCTTTCAAGGAAGTAAAATAAAGAATTGCCATTTCCTGTGTCCGTGTACAGGTTCTTCCCACTAGATGGAGACCTACATATGTCAAATGTCACTATATGTGTACCAGCCAACAATCCAAATTAGCTATGTATCCAACCTTTTATCCAGGGGAAGAGGCAGAGTACAAATTGCCGGTCCACAACCATTTATATTTGTATCCACACTCATAGCAAATAGATAATCATCAATTAAGCTAACATGCATGCATTTGGTCTGTGGGAGTAAGTCAGCATCCAGAGAAAGCAGGAGCATGGCTGTGTGTAAACTGCACACAGAAAAGCCCGAAACAGCCACCCAGAACTGCCAGCACCCCACAAATGTGACCTGGGAGCTAAACAGCTCCACTAACATAACAAATGACAGGAAGACTGAAAGTTTACATTGGGATCCAACCTTTACAAACACATTGCAATAATCTTTGCTTCCATATTAACATCCAGTCGCCCAACTCCTTTTCTGTTAAACTCCCTTATTCTTTGTGGCCCTCTAATCATTCAGGGTGCACGAATGAGCTGTGGTTTCATGTTAAGGGGCTTCTGCAGTCAGTGCTGCTCTACATGAAGATGTCAGTCATGCTTATTTTCTTCCAGAAGCAAGCAAGAACAACGACCCCGCTTTCACTCAGTCTGTGTGGAAGGAAAGAGCAATCTGGAAGAGCATCACACAGCAGAGCCTGGAAGTCCATAAAACGTTCTTCTGCAACTTGACAGAAAACAGCAGCTTTCGCTGGCACACCAACACAGTGACAGAACAGGACGTATACTTGGCTTATGTGGGACTGCCAGTGTGCAAAGGAGATATGGATATTTCCAGCAAACCCACATCAGAGAGAGGGACAGACATGAGGAAGAGCACAATGCAGATTTGAGCTTTTTCTTTTTTGTTTAGTCACAAGTAACATGCAAGGGTTTGACTTGGAATAGATTGTAGCTGAAGGTTCATCATTAGTGACTGCACCATATGTTTGTCTGAGTATGATTCAAGTAATATAAATATGTAATAAATAGTAATATAAAATGTTAAAGCTACTAAATCGTACCCCAAAGCAGAATTGAAGTCATCCTACATTTTTGCTAAAACCACTGAGCTGAAAGAAGTTTAAGTGATGAGGAGAAGAAGGAGGCTGAAGAACTGTGATGTAAACAGATCAGAGTGAAAAGAAGCATTAAAATGGAAAAGCACCAGCAAAAGAATAGAGGAAGGAGTGGTGAGAGAGGCCTGTTATTCACTGTAATGCTGAGTGATGTTTCACTGCTTACCTGAGATTTTTGAAGAGGCCCTTTAGGAAAATATTACCTAGGATACATGTGATATGTTTCTGTTGCCATGGCTTATAAAAACCCCTCATTATTTACTTCTCTTTATTCCCTGTGAGGTTCTGAGCTCATAGATGGAGAGGGACAGACATGAGGAAGCAGAGCTCTGTGATTATAAAAGGACACAAAGCAGTGCAGAGAACCAACAAACATTACATTTAGTGCATTTATCACATT